AGAAAGAAAGAAAGAAAGAAAGAAAGAAAGAAAGAAAGAAAGAAAGAAAGAAAGAAAGAAAGAAAGAAAGAAAGAAAAAGAAAGAAAGAAAGAAAGAAAGAAAGAAAGAAAGAAAGAAAGAAAGAAAGAAAGAAATTCTCGATGTATGGCAATATGACTATGACATCCACCTCCTAAACAGGGTATGCAGGATCACCCTCATTCCTGCAATCAAGAGAAGAGTTTTAAAACTGTATTCAGGTGTATGTGTATAAACATGCCATGTATGTGCAGATGCCCATAGGGAACAGAAGAGGGCATCAGATTCCCTCGAGTTGGACTTAGAGCAGTTGTGAGCTACCTGTGTTGTACCCATTTCTTCAAACACCCAGAGACCACCAAGGAGCTGATTTGTGAACCTGGGCAACCAAACAGCAGATGGAGGGAAATGCAGTGGTGGCCACAGGCCCAGCAGGGTTAGAGAGTTTTTATAGGGAAAAACCACAAGCCGGGAATTACATGCTTTGTCAACTTGGGGTTGGGTAGAAGGGATATGGGGCAAGGTGATTTTTTTTTTGAAGCTATTGGTCTAAACTTTGGGCACAAAACCACATTTGAAACCATTGGGTTAGACTTTTAGGAACCACAACCCGCTGAACAGAATTATCTGGATTGCTCAGCAGGATTTTCTAGATATCTTCACGGGCCATAAACCACAGACAGGATGTCTGCAGGAGCATACTGCCCTGTATCTGTTCTAGTTGTCATGGCACATTCCTGAGGTCCTTCCTGGAAGTGAGTACAGCAGGTGGTCTAAGATGGTGGCCCTTCCCTAAGATGGAGTCTGTATTGCCTTCACACCTGATATGACTTGGGTCCCCTGGAAGAGCAGCAAATGTTCTTAATTTCTGAGTCATCTCTGATCCCCCAGAGGCCCATGTGTGTCCAAAGGCCTCAACCCTTGTTCTTGAACAGCTGTCTGCATGGTCTCATAGCATCCTTAGTCCATTCACAGGTATACTCACAATGAATTTCCTTGTCTTTTTCTCCTTCTAATCCAAACCAGGCAAACCTTTTTTTACAAGAAACCCTTCTGAGCTGAAAGGCAAGTTCATTCACACGAAGCTACGGAAAAGCAGTCGTGGCTTTGGCTTCACGGTGGTTGGAGGGGATGAACCGGATGAGTTCCTGCAGATCAAGAGCCTGGTCCTAGATGGTCCTGCTGCCCTGGATGGCAAGATGGAGACAGGTGAGTCCCCATGGCCAGAGCATGTTCTATGTGGTGCCCACATCTGAACAAGGGCAGACAGCATCAGGATTCCTTTAGATGTGTCCTTCTCACACCTGGCAGTGGGCTAGAGGCTCCTCTTACAGCACCCTCCATCCTCAGTCCAGATGAAAGCCTCTGAAAGTACTTGGACTTTAGAAACCTGTTAGAGTGCTATTGAATATAGTAAAGTAGTAATTTACTAAAGATGTAGATCCATTTAAATAAATGAATTCTAAACTTAGAACCCCAGTGTTCTTTCAATGATTATTATATTGTCATTTAACTGAGAAGATACTAGATGCTGAAAGAAAGCTTTATTATCAGTTAAAATATCCAATCTGGTTTGGGCTGGTAGACGCCCCACCCCCACCCTGTTTCATTCAACTTTGTATGGAGGGCACAGAAGAACTAAAATTTCACTTTCACCCTCATTAGGAATTTGGATGGGCCTTAGAATCACAAAAGATAGGTCAATAAGAGGAAAGCATTTACGTTCATTTAAGATGAGTTTAAAACCAGGTATAATGGCACTCAGATAGCTATAGAAAAAAAGATCACAAATTGAAGGCCAGCCTGGGTTGCATAGGGAGACCTTGACTCTGAAACTGCCTCCCTAAATACAAAGAATGAGTGGGGTGTGACACAGGAGCCTCAAAAGTCAATAGCAGCCCAAAGATGATGTTCAGCACTCGGTACAGCAAACAGAGTAGGTTATAAGAATTTGACAAGGACCCACAGGCTTGGGCTAGAGGAGAGAAGTGACTGGGAAGTCGGGTGTGGTTTAACAAGGTCAGTGTGCATTGACTCCTCCTGGTGTTGGCTTCTTATCCATAGTACCAAACGAGGATGTACTGAAGTCAGAATGCTACTTCTTGTGTGAGAACATCGTCTATGTGGAGTTCTCAGGAGGAATAAAAGAGTTCCTCTTTCAAGCATCTTTAGCTCAGACTAGGCCTGTACTGAGTGAGGAATCTCAGATGGTGGGTTCTGAACATTAGGAGAATGTGATTGTAGCAGCATTTTCTGGTACTGTTGTTTGACCTCCAATCTCTTACCTTTTACAGGGGATGTAATTGTCAGCGTGAATGACACCTGTGTTTTGGGACACACACATGCTCAAGTTGTAAAAATCTTCCAGTCCATTCCTATTGGTGCCAGTGTGGACCTTGAACTCTGCAGAGGTTATCCATTGCCTTTTGACCCGGATGACCCTAATACAAGTTTAGTGACCTCGGTGGCCATTTTGGACAAAGAACCAATTATTGTGAATGGACAAGAGACGTATGATTCACCAGCAAGCCACAGTAGTAAAACGGGCAAAGTCAGCAGCATGAAGGAGGCCAGACCAAGCAGCCCTGCAGACGTGGCTTCCAACAGTTCCCATGGTTATCCCAACGACACGGTCTCTTTGGCTTCCTCCATAGCCACGCAGCCAGAGCTGATAACTGTGCACATAGTCAAAGGGCCAATGGGCTTTGGCTTCACGATTGCAGATAGTCCCGGTGGGGGCGGCCAAAGAGTGAAGCAGATTGTTGACAGTCCCCGCTGCCGAGGCCTCAAAGAAGGGGATCTTATTGTGGAAGTGAATAAGAAGAACGTGCAGGCTCTGACGCACAACCAAGTCGTGGATATGCTGATTGAGTGTCCAAAGGGAAGTGAGGTCACGCTGTTGGTGCAGCGAGGAGGTACGTAGGTTGATTTTGTTCTTTTGCTTTTGAAGTCTGAAATGCATTGGTTGGCTTACTAGTCTTCAACTATTTGAGGGCTTTTTGTTTTGTTTTGTTCTTTAAAGATGTGTTGTTGTTGTTCTTTTTCCTTTTTGAGACACTAGAAGTTGAACACAAGGCCTTCGGCATGCTAGGCAAGCACTGTGCTACCAGGCTACATCGCTAGCCCTAGATCCCTTTCACTTACGTATTTGAAAATACTTTGCAAATGTCTTCTGGTTGCTTTGAACATTCTTCGCAATAAAGTTTATATATTGTGTTGCATATATAGAATTAGAGTGACTCTATAAAACAAATCCTGCATCTTTTAAAAATAAGTAAGATTTGTCTCTTGAAAACAAGAATGATTTCTCTTGTAAGACTCCTGGCCCTGGCCTTCCCAGGCTGAAAAAATGTCCTCTTGAGTCTACTCTCCCAGACTCAGTTCTCACTATTCTGCTGCTTCCACTGGAATTCAGCCACACTGGCTTAGTCCTTTCCCACCTCGGGACCTTTCTATTTCCTCGGCCCAGTTTCTCCCGGATTTCTCCCTAGGGAGTTATCTATCTCCCTATCTAAGTTAACCACTAACTAAGTAATCCACGACATCTCTCCTGTATGTCTGTCTTGTGATAGCCTTTATCACAGTCAGTATTATTGTTATCATGAGCCATTATTTTAGACTTTTATTTTCATTTCTTTCTCTTTCACAGGATCGTAAGTTCTGTGAGCCAGCACACACATCTGCACATTGTTAACCTAGCATTTAGCATACCTGACTCCTTTAGAACAGTGCTATAGAACTCACATCATTAGTCTCAACATTAAGCTCCCTTCTTTCTTCTTGCCTCAGCCTCCCATTTTCTTCCTCAGCAGCACTCCTCATATTTCTTAATTTCAGTATTGAAATGTCTCACTCCTGGGGTGGGAACTTGTAACTAGTTGTATTTTTTTTGTTCACAGAAGGCCTGAGGTTGTCTCCCTTCCCTGCCCTTGTCCTCCTCAATATGACATTTCATGCTTAACATAGTTGAGCCCTTGGAAAGGAGATCAGTTATCAAATGTACTTTCCTTGCAACAAAGGTGCTCACTTGAAGCTGCATTTTGTGTTATCAAAGTGATTAGGGTCACTGAAGGAAACACAGAACACAGAACAACTGTTGAGTTGATTAAAGTGTTCTTCTAACTTCCGGGAACAAGTCATCAAGACCACTGTGCAGGCTGGGTGTGGTGGCCCACACCTTTGATCCCAGTACTTGGAAGGCAGAGGCAGGTGGATTTCTGTGAGTTCAAGGCCAGTCTGGTCCACATCATGAGTTCTAGGACAGTCAGAGGTACATTGTGAGACCCTGTCTAAAATTTAAAACAAACAAACAAAAAACATTGTGCAGACTGATTTGGCAGAAACACTCTAGTACATTTTGAGCTCTCCTCTGGTTCTGAGACCGCTTTATACCCAAAAAGCCGATCCCTAAAAGTGACCTGGGTTCATGTAGACAGACTGGTGATTTGTAGAGTGCTCTTATACATGAATACACCTCTCATCTGATCTTTACCATTTCCTTTGCATGGGAAAGTGGCAGCTCCCAGCAGAACCAGTGTGACCCCATTTCTGGTTCCATTGTTCCTAGTCTAGAGCTCTGGCAGCTTACCTCGGAACAATGTTGATTTTGCATACTTGTTCACATGTTCACTTGTTCACAGGCATCTCTCTCTGATCCAGCAGCTACAGTGCATTCTACAGGCAGTCTCCTCTCTAACCTAGTTTAATCCTTCTTCTCTACTGGGTGTATTGTGTACTGGGCTTTTCTACCATTAGATTAACTTTTAAAGGTACCAAAACATAGTTTTGTGATAATCTACTAACTCAACTCGTGCTGCATTTGCCTAAAATAGCAAAGAGTTGATTATAGAAATATATACCCCTTCTTTTAACTAAGTCTATCTTTTCTTAATTCCTGAGACTGTCTTTCTGCTGATGCTATTACATTTTATAACATTCATATGGAAAGATCCAGAATATATTGCCTCATTAGTCAACATCTACATGGTTTACTCTACAACCTGAGTAATTTAAAATCACTGTAACAGTGACAGTCTGTAAAGTACGCCATACGCCCGGAGTTTGATTTATGTGTAGGATGGGAAGTTTGTACATCTGCAGTTGGCAGGCCATTGCCAGCTACTATTAATCTTTCTCAAAAGCATAAAAATATATTTGCTTGTGCCACGCATTAGTTGTTTGCATCGGGGCTGACATTTAATCATCCTCCATGTGGTGGGGGTGTAAGGAGAACGTTAGATGAAGAAGCGGGACAGCATCTGGGTGAGATGAGGAAGTGAGCGGTCAGTTCACTGACTGCTCATGAATCTCATTGCTGTCATAGTTGCTGGTAAACAGATTGATTCACTCATTAAATCCACATCGTCCGTGATGCTCTAGCATCCATGTTGGGAAGATAGGGTTTCCTATGCCTTGTAAAATGGGTTTGTTTTCCTTGGTGGCAGAATTGGATGTTGGCAGCCTCTGTTTTCGTTCCTAAGTCCCATGTTCATTCTTGATGGTTGTCCTTGTTGAGATTTGGTTAAATTTACTATATATATTTAATTAGACTTTATTGAGAAAAACATATATGTAAAGTACTTTTTAAAGTTCTTATGAGGTGAAGTTTTATTTTAATAA